TTTTTTAACGAGAAAAACAGACGAATATATCATGAAATATTTGGGGAAAACAGTTCCCTTTAGGATAAGATGAAATAGAATCATCCAATTCCATCCGAAGCCCTGATAAACATGAGCAACAAGAACAGCAATGTGTTGCCATTTTTCTCTCTTTCGTTCTTATCTTTGTCCATTATTCGATTAATGAAAGGAACAAAAACGACAAACTCAAAACTTCCAACTACTATGTAAAAAGATAATAGTTAGTGCTTTTTTTTTATTCGTCAATACTGCTTCTTTCTGACAATTTCTATTTCACTATGGATTTTCGAGCGTTGCTTATTCAAGTACAAGACCGTTTATCTAATGCTGATCGACGTCGTTTACATTTTCTATTTTCTGACGACATACCGAAATGGTACAATATTGATCCATCAATGAGTGGCACACTTGATCTGCTTCAATGGTTAATCGAACATGGCAAAATCAGTGAGGAAGATATTACTATTCTCATGAAAGCATTTCGTGAGATCAACTGTCCTGAAGCAGTTAATTTATTGATGGGTATGCTTCGAATGATCATATCATGCTTAATCTATTTAACATAGCCGACCTTTTATACTAATCGAGAGTAAGCAGAAATATGAGACGTAGACAACACCGTGTTTACTGTTTAAAATGATAGATAGGACGAGATTAAATATAAAAGCTTAATTTTATTATTTCAAATCATATTCAAAATACCGATCTATTCCTACACGTCAGCAAGATAAAGACAGTAATCTGTGAGAAATTTCATGAATTTTACCGAATAATACCTTTTTTTAATTGACGAAAAAGAATTCGATATTACAGATTGGTAGAGTATGATATAGAAATTCAATAGTAGAGAATATCATCGTGGCATTTGCTCTCATATAGCTCATCAACGCAAACAACAACAGTTTACGAATCCAAGAATATATACTGAAACCATTATTGATAATGAAGAGGATAAAATTGGTACACTCTCAAGTAAACTATTTGAGATGAAATTGTTGCATAGACTAAGTTTTCTCTTGCAGATCTTACAAATTATGTAACACAGCCATCAACAAATCGTACCGTTCCATATCAGAATCTATTCGTCGAGAACTCGTCTCTACTGTCGCCAAGCTTACCAATCTCGTTTGAACAAGAATCATCTACGACTGCTGAAGTTATCAAGAGCGCACAGCAAAGATCATCTATAAAGAAAAAAATAATCATATATGTTTCAGTCCTGTTGGTTTTATTGGTTGTAGCATTGTTTGCTTTAGGAGTCTATATCTTCACCCTGCATGGTACTACAAAAAAGCATTCAACATTAGCAATGATGAATCTTTCAACTATGAATTTCAGACGTTAGTATTTAACACAATCTTCATAAAAAAATTTATTTCGAATAGAAGAATTTACATTGCCGAGCAAATTGACTTAGGACAGAGCATGAAAGAAATCTTTTGTCTAGCAAGAGCTAGATTAATACAAACGATCATAAACATGCAAAGGATATAGAAGTTCTAATTATTTTTGTTATTGCTAGATTTTTGAATGTTTTGGATAACCAGAATCAGTTTGAAGGGTTAAGCAAATTCTGGAAAATATCATTACAATATTTTAGTTGTCGCCGCCGATCAAAGTATCGGCTTACATCTCTACTATAAAATATTGAACATCAGTAATCGAGTAATTTACTAATCTGCTCTCTATGTTTTTTGTTTTCTAATCGTATAGATTGATTGAGGTCTATATTGTTTGAAAAGCTGAACAGTGCACTGTATGTTTAGGCAATGATTGTTCAATGCATCTGTGTCTCGATACTTTTATATCTGAACGACCGCACATTCCTCCTTGTGCTACATGGAGTTCTAAAGTAACCACAGTGGCTGGAATTTTTGGTAAGGAAGGCGATTCTCCATTGCATCTAAATATGCCTACAGATCTTGCAATTGATCTCGATGGTAATCTATTTGTTTCCGATGAAAAAAACAATCGTATACAGCGTTTCGCACCCGGTGAAACAAGCGGTGTTACGGTAATTTGGAATTTGCAAAGTCCTCAACAGATTCAATTCGATTATCGAACAAAAGCGCTTTATGTTTCCGAAATGGAAGGTGGACGTGTATTAAAATGGGACTTGCAAACTCGAGAAGGAGTGACTATTATACGCAACTGTCGCCGATGTACTGGTGTATTCGTATCGTCAAAAGGGTTTATTTATGTTGTGGAGAATCGACGTCATCATGTGGTAAAATATCAATGGGATGGACGCAGCGAGACGAGATTGGGCGTTGTCGCCGGCATTACTGATGTGTCTGGCAGAGCTGCAGAATACTTGAGTCTTCCGCAGGCAATATTTGTTGATGATGTCGATAATTTATATGTTGCTGATTCCGGAAATTCTCGAGTTCAGAAGTTTAAACCAGACAGTCGTCAAGGCTTCACTCTTTACGAGTACGATCAAGCCATTCCATTATATGTCTTAGTCGATAGCTATGATACTGTCTACGTCACAATTTACGTGCAAGAAGCATCGAATATATTGAGAAGTCTCATTGTTCGAATTCCAAGGAATGGATCAATGAATTTCATAGGAAATAAAGGTAAATTTTATCTAAGATAGTTATCACGTTAACCGGGTACATTTTAATCTTACATTGCAGTTCGGTTAGATTCGGAATATTCACAACAGGAATTACAAGGTGCACATGGTTTAGCATTTGATCAAGTTGGAAATATGTATGTCGCCGATACCTGGAATCATCGTATTCAACGTTATGATATTGATCTGAGCCAATGCAATCACACACATCAATAACAGTTCGGATAAATTATACAAAAACCTTTTGCATAAAAGTCGCGATTTGTTTCAAACAAGCGTATAATCATCAGATATCTACTGAAGTTCTGTAGCATTTAGCGAAAAATTAGATTAAAATCGATTGAAATCTGTAATCAATTATCTGGGTTATAACAGATATTAATTGTTTTCTTGTCTTAAGAGTATGGGGGTGGGCTATTAGTTATGGGTGTCCAAAAACTGAGGAAATAGAATTTTTTTTTCTCAATTCGTTCACAGTTCCATGATTGTCAAAGTAAAAAGAAACACAATATTCAAGATATCTTTTTCTCTTTACATTCACATCAAGTATAAGCATTACTTTGACTTTTATGGATGACGGAACTCTGAGAGAACTTAGGGTCAGTTCTCGTTTCTCTGAGGATCTATCATAGCTTCGTTGAGAGTCTTTAATAATGTTAGAATAGCTATTTGTCAATTTCCGAGTGTCGTTGAATATTTACACAGACCAAAACATTGCAATTAGTCTAAGTTAAGTCACCAAATATCAGTATAAACTTTGAAACTATTTATGTTTTCTAACATGAAAAAATAAGTCATCAATAAATTATTTTCTTTCTATTTATTCTTTCTCTCTTCATATCGATGTGCTATAGTATGAAGACAGGTTTTCCGCCATTTTTCTTATCATACAATTATCGTGTGTTGTATCATATTACGACATTGTCAGCGAATACTGGCATTTACTCCACAGTCATTTTTTTTGTTTGAGTATGTTTCATTTATTACGTCTGTGCGCGCTTATAATGTGATAACAAGAATACAATATACGTAAAATGGAACAAAAAGAAAGGCAAACAGAGGAGACAAAAAAAGCAAGGACAAAAGGCTACGTAAGGGAAAAAATGACAGGAAGCGGGACCATATGTCGGACTTATCAGAATAATTTTCGATGAATTGCATCCAGCGGATTAGAAATGACTTGTGCCTATCCATCATTTTTTCACTCTTGCCAATGTAAAGAATTGTCCTATATCTATTTTTGTTTTGACTTATCACTTTGATGTTTCATTACTAGATTTTTATAGAAAATGGATTCGCCTAGGTCAGATCTAAATACTCAATACAAACATTCTTTTAAATAAGGTGAAACATATGATTCAAGCGAGAGTTCCTTTAATATTGATGAAATTTCGTGTGCTGTAATAATGGAGCATCTATGTACTATTCTTAGATCCACTGTAAACTTACGTGTTAAGATAGTTAAAAAACGGGAAAATCCACGTAAAGGAAGAAAAGCGGTATGCAAAGCAACATAGTTTTATTACATTATTTGCTATTGTTTTATTTGTTTTCAACCAATTCAGCTTAATATATGAGCTTTCAGTCTTTTCTATACAATGGTTGACTTTTGGTTTGATTGATAGTTTGTCCGTCCATTCAAAACCTAGATATTTAAATGTTTTCATACATCCAAGTCGTTTTCCATTCAAATATATTTGCACTTTAGGTGTAGGTATGGATGTGTGGATGCAGACTAAGACACGAAAGCAGGACATGCGAAAAAACCATAGCCCACACCCATCCTTTATCAATTGTTGACGGAATAGAAAACTGTTGTTACTAAAGTGATTAGAAAAGAATTCTTGAAAAAACACAATGTTCCGCATTTCATTCTGAGCTACTTCGTTTTTCATATAAATATATATTCCATAGTCAAAATACACTCTCTGACCATATGAATTTTTCAAAGATTACATCGGTGACAGCTAAAATATTGATATTTTCGTCCAATAGAATTTTTCTACAATATAAGTTAGATTCTATTTTGTTTCAATGGTAGATACTCGTATGTTTTCTCGTAAATTGGTGTGCGACTCTTTTTTCGAAATCAGTCAAACGATTGCATTTTTTCCCAGCAACCTTGACACATTGGAATGATGTTTGTGAACTGTACTCTATCTCATTAGAACTTGTCCATGATAGCTATGATATGAAGAAAATAATCGAATAAATTTTGTGCATATTGTATCCCTTCGTCCATCCTTTCGATGCTTATCAAATTCATAATAATGCTTTGTGGAAACATTTTCCTTTAATTGAATTGAAGGCGAGGACCGTTTACATTGAGTGGTTTATCCTGTTCTCTGAATTATAAAAGGTTGATGTTTTAGTTATTATTTTTTTTATTGCAGTGATGCTCTGACTTTTCTCGAACACACATATACATCTGTCATTAATTAATTATCCACACGAACTAAACATTTTCAAAGGAAATCATGAAAATAAACATCAGCATCGTTCAACTATTTATGCAATATGAGTTTATCTCACTCTACTTCTCTTAATTCTGATTGGTTTTCATTCTTGACCTATATCTAATATAAACATTCGCTAAATTCATTCTAAAGAATTCCACTATCGATCACTATAAAAATCTGAGAAGTGATGCTCAATGTATGTGCTCCAAAGGATGTAGGTGTGGATGTAGTGGTGGATGAGTGCAGATTTAGGTCTTGGTACGCGTATGTACTCGGTCCACATCCTAGCTATCCACCCATACACATCTATGTTCGATCTCTCGACACGACATTTATCCGATGGATGTCGACGACTCGAAAAAGAATTTCGTCATGCGTAAGTACTTATACTCTAATCTTCACTTCTGGATTTATACGATGGTTTTCGAGGGCTTCGACATAATAATATCGAATCTACGGCTTTTTTTTCATTTTCAAGCATCTCGTACCCTCAAAACCTCTCGAGAGTTACTCTTTAATAGGATTCGAAGTACTCCAATTAGTTGAGGACTTGACAATACGGTTATAAATTTCGACTTATTTTGACCCGTCGAAATTAATTGTTCGAGTGGTCATGAACGATTAATCAACATGATCCATCGGAAAAAAAACAGCTTGGGCAATTGATTCAATAACATGAATTTGAGATATTTTCAGAATTACTACATTAATGGATTTAGTAGTAATAAATAGCTTGAACCATGTTACACGATCTCAAATTCTACTGGGTGGATAAAAGTAGCGAATAAGTTATTGCTAATTATTTCATGCAATTAAACAAACATTTTACAGACCTTGCCTAACTACGTGTTTTCTAGGAACAATGAAGTTTTATTTTTGTACAAATGAATTGTCACATGTTGATACAATGAAGATTATTGAAGAACAACATAGACAAATACATAGACAACAAATAAAAATATATAAGGTTCTGAATAAAAAGGCACAATATTTATTGTTGTGGAATAACTAAATCGGTAACAACATTTCGATGACGCCATCGTTGCAAATGAATTTTGAAAAGAACAAAAACTAATTGATGACGAAAACGTTCTGATGCACACATATAAATATAAAATGGACTCTAAAAAATATATATAGAAATATTTATGAACTAATCATTGTATTAAAATTTCATTATATTTACTGCAAAGCAACTATAAAGTAAAATAATCGATAATATTTTAGCAGAAGATAATATTGCATTTGCAACTGGATCTTGTGTTATATAGGGATCAAGCATTATTGCATTTATAACCGTATATGGTGTAATAGCAAAAAAATTAAAAACAACTTGCGTTAATACCATCATTGTTAATTGTTTATCTAATCTACGTCGAACAAGAGGTAATGTTCGATAAGATAATTTTTGTACATTTCTATATGCTAAACATCCAAATATAACTGTAACAGAGATAGGTAATACACCCAAAAATATAAGAACATGCCAAGTTTTAAGATATTGGTGGAAAGCTTCATTTATAACTTGACAATCTAGATTACCAGACGAAGGATCAATTATCAAAGCATGAGAAGTAAAAAATAAAATTCCATAAAGAAACCATAAAACAATAAATGCTACGCATAATTGACGGGCTAAATTAATATTGCACAATCTTTGCCAACGTGGATATGAGCAAGTTGCTGAAAATTGATCAATTGTTGCCAGACATAAACATGTAAAAGCAATTAACATGCAAACATGAACAAAACCTTCTCTAACAATACAATAAAAACTTGATTGCTTTGTCCAATCAATATTGTATCCATACATCATTATAAATGTAAGTAAACCTGTAGATAAATATCCAATACTAACCATTGCCATGATAGTTAAATAAAATGCACATGAATTTTGTCGAAATGTTTTTAGACTAAGAAAAACAATGATATTGAAAAATCCACCTATCACACCAAGGAAAAAGATAGGTATACCCAAATAAATTGTTACTCGATGAGATATTAAATTAGCAGTTGAAATAATATATTGTGACATTCGAAATCGATCTTTTAAAGTGATACTAAATAGACAAAAAAAAATAATAGTTTATAAAAATATATCAAATTTTATGTTATAGAATATATGCAGGATTTTCTACCACTAACTAAATATCTTTGGCGTAATAAATACAACGTCTCGTCTTCTCTACACAAGTGTGAAACTATCTTAAATATTTACGGTATTCTCCTACCGGATGATGTGAAGTATTACTACTGATTATTATTATGATGATCTCTCGATAGAATAATTAAAAATACTTTTTGTTTCAAAAAAAAAATATTATTTATACATGAGAAATTTCAAAATTTTTGATGTTCCAAATGACATAGCAAGACACTTTTCATTAAAAAATTTCACACATGAATAAATTTATTCATGTCATCACTGTTCAAGGTTCTATTGAATTAGAAGTATCTAGTAAAAAGAAAAATTCTTTTATGATATAACATCAAACAAGGATAGTGATAATGTTTTGAATTATCAATAAATATTCATAGGCTTCTTTCAGATATACATTAATAAATCTCGTCACACTTTATACCAGCCTGTTTTAGTACACGTTGACTTCATCTGTATTTAAAAATCTACACTAATGTAAACATTATTTATTAGTGCGAGTACGACATATGACAAGAATAAAAAGAAATACCTACTACAGTGAAACATGCTTAATAAGCTCTCTATAATTATCAATCTCCGTCGTTTCTGTCTGGTTAACTTAACTAACATAGCTGAAATATTTTTCTCATCCGTTTTATGACTAAATTTATCTCTAAATGACGCCACTAAGCTCGACAGTATATGTGTTTTTTTGTTTATTCAATTCTTAGAAAAAAAAAAAAGTAACACGTCATAGTTATTTACTCAACCAATAAATGTGAATTAAAATGCAACCATATTATTAAGTCTATCTTTTGAAGACAAGAATTTCATCTTAAGAAGTAAATGTCAAATATGTTGACGTTTGTAATTATAACAGTAATGATAGTAGGGAGAAATAAAAGAAAATAGATTTCATGATAACAGAAATTAATTTCCAAATTTGATAGTCTCAGAAGTAAACATGAAAAGAACATAGAAGTAGTTATTTATCAGGTTGATCTTTTTATTTTGTACTAAGAAATAGAGTTCGACATGAGTTTTTAAATAATGAGATATAAAATCAATGGGAAAGTGTCAAAAGATCGAAAGTCAAAACGTCGAAAAGCAAAATATCGAAAATTACAAACTCTGTAGCCACAATATCCGGATCTTACTCAAGTCTTTGATGAACAAACCACAAAAGGACAACGAACGTACAGTCCGATAGTGTGGGTGAGGGCAAAATCTGTGGCTTCTACTTTATTATTAAGACTTTCGAAAAAATTATTTTCGATGTTTTGCTTTTCGACGTTTTGACTTTCGATCTTTTGACACCTATTCAAATCAATATTGAAGAACTTATCAAAAGAAATTGTTTAGTATTTGAATTGATTATGTTTAGTTTTAATAGTGACAGAAACATTACACTGATAATAGTGTCCACTTGATTCTTTAAGATGACTGTCCTGATTTTTAAGTTTGTCGAATGTAAAGTGTCCTATTTTCTAATATATTTTGAGAAGCATGTTAAAGTATAAAAAAATAGATTTATTTTCTGAAGAATAAATTTTGTTTAGAAAGTATCATTTATTGGTAATTGTAATCGGCCATTTGATTATACATTAAAGCTGTTATTATGTCGATAACTTATACTCTAGATCATGATTTTCAATAATGTCATGGATTCACTCTGCAAGTACATTTAACGAAACAATACATTCAGATCTTGTTGAGTAATAGTAACATACTATAGTGTCAAAGTGAAAGTACATGTAAATCCTCATATGTCAACATTTTATCTTGACAACTAATTCGGATAATAATCAAAATAAATCAAAATCTGTCAACATCTTCTAAAAAAAAATTTATTCTTAAACTAGAGCTTCTATTGTTATTAGATTAATTTTTTAAGATAATCTTGAAATTACAGATTTGTTTTATTGATTAAAATTTTGAAACAAAAATCTATTAAACATAAGTCGTTTCATCATGGTCTGAGCTCTTTTTAAATTAATCTTATAAAAATTTCTTTCACTTCTTAGATGATGACATGTGTATGCTCATCTGTTCTTCTTTTCTATGGGTATTATAGTTTTTTTCAGTTAGTCATGCGCAATTCTACCAAAAATAAAAATAAATTGGATCAAAAATTATATGAGCTCTACGTTTGAAGTTGAATCTTTCTTTTGTACTTTAATTAATCTTTTCAATTATAATAGCAATTAACAATGACTTTTGTATTGTCCTTAAAATGAGATTTATTTTTCTTTTCATCAATTTGGATGTCGCTTGAATGAGTTGATAAGAGATTTACTTCATTTATAGTCATAGCAGTGAAAAACATCAAGATCTAGGTATGCGAATCCACACCCACATCTTGATTTTGTTGTCATTTCCAACCCGGAAAAAAAAAGATATTTAGTTGCAAGTTTTTTTTTATTATATAGAGCATCATTTTTCTTCCCTATATAGATAAGATGTCAAATAAAAAATATTTTATGACTCAGTTTCTATTAAAAAACAACAAAACAAAATAAATTTCGAACAGAACAAACTTGAACATCTATTTTAAAAATATAAAATAATTTTTGAGAGATGTATGTATGATTACATTTTCTGCTTTTTTCGCAATTGTTCAAAAATAAATTTGTCAAGACATGAATATTGCAATGATTGCCAAATCAACATAATCGAAATTATTTTGAAAAGATATTATTAATGTTTGTTAACTTTTGATATGATGGTTTCAAGAAACGCCGTACAGTAAACCATGCAAAGATCGAAAAAAAAAAACTCTGTCTAAAATCGGAATCATCTGGATGAGAACGTAAAACAACTAGGACGATGGATCGTCTGATCGAATGCAAAAGAAAATGTAACAGAAGAAAATCAGTGCGCGTAACAAAAACAGAACTCAAAAAATGTATTCGTGTATCAATATTCGAAAGCATAATTGAACAGGATTCCATTGAGTGTGAGTGTGAATAAGACTAATCTTAACAATTTAATAGTGAAAATTTGTCAAAATCTATTTAAAACTTATGTAGCTATTTGATAATTTAACGGTTTCTGTTTCATTTAATATTTTGGAAACTGCTTTTGCTTGTTTTCAGTAACTGAATACGCAGTTAAGTTTATGGAACCATCAAACTTTAGGAAGAAGTAACTTTAACAAGACTGATTCAAATAAGTGTTTATCATCTATGATGTGGTGTTCATAGATAAGCTTTGACCTGAAGCAGTTCATATATCTTTTGAGGATGCATAGATTTAGGTTGGCATAGAGTGTGAATGGATATGTATGGTAAATTTCTTTCGTCACACCAATATCTACATGCATACCATCAGTACAGAATAGTGAGAGATAACAGGAAACATCTTTTGGAGACTTAGTATCATTGTATACATTATAGTTCTTCAGTGTGCAGCAGCAGTAGCAGTTATTCTTCAGAAAAATAGTATCATTTTACCTTGATATCAATTCGAAAAAGCGTTTAAGATGTAGATGAATTTTATTAAGCTTGAATATGAAAAAAATTACAAAAAAAATGATTAGTAGAGAGCTGTGGAAAAATGAAAGTTCTATATTGTTAATCGTTTGAGATCGAACTACTTGAACCGTTCAGACGTTTATTGTTCTCTAAAATGAAATACAATAGAAATACAGTTTCAAGAAATGAATACAAAGTGTACAATTAGGCATATATAAAAAGAAAGAAGCAATCAATTTTGAAATTTCTCATAGGTATTGTCAAGTGAATCGTAAGCAACACATGAGTAAAGAACTAAGTGTCTACTTTCATAGTTGTAAAATCAAGTTTTCATTCTATATCTGAGATTCTGTCAAAGATTTACGCTTTGCTGAATATTTAATAGAAAAATGTGTCTAATGAAGTGTTACAATTGAGCACAACATACCTCGTGTCTCTATTGATCTTTTCAAATATTCTTTTGTTTTTTAACCGTAGGACACATAATTATTATATACGAATGCTGATAACAGGAATAAGGAATCATTCAAACAAATATTCTATGCTATATTCATGTTAACTCAATAGTTAAGAAACGAAAATCATTTCCTAACTAGTTATCACATCACAAATAGATAATCAATAGTACCAAGCTCCAGATAAAATATTTTGTTTAGTTGAAATCTAACATTTCGAATTGATATTCAATTAAAAGATGGCATAGTAAATGAATCATTCAGAAAAATATGTATTTGTTCAAATATGTGATTCATCTCAAAGTGGCTGAATGTTTTGAATTATATAATAAACGATCATCTAACATATAAATAGTCTATAGCATGCTTCGATTGAAATATTGTGATGAATTAATAACAGGATTTTAAAAACGGATACTACATTGATAAATAATATTGTAAATGAATATTACATACTATGCTTTCTATCACATATATGCTTCTATTTAACATACAAAATCAAGTTCAATACATAACTGTAACATAATATAATAAATGAATTAGTAATATTAATTTCTTATTCAAATATTTTATTTCTTTTTCAAAATTGAAAATTCAAACAAATTCGATTTTTTGTTGATTTTATAATATAGGAATAGTTTGCACGAAATTAACAATCAAATATGTCATAGATTCGAATTCTGTAATTTAAAATTCGTATACAACTCAAAAATGCACAACCAATGAATAGTTGATATCGGAAATATTTTATTCAATTATTTTCTTCATTTTAAATATGAAGATTAGAAGCAATAATAAATATAACGATTGTCCAATATATATCTATTTCATAACAGACTTCTATTCAAATACTTTCTTCTTTGGAAAAGAAGAGTCAAATGATATGATGTGCTTCAAATTTTGATAAAAAAAACGAACAATGCAAACAAATAAGAAACTGCTGACGGTTTATTTTGTTGACAGATTG